AAAACATCAGAAAATTTAATTTCTCTATACATTTGGATGTTAAGAATAGGTTACTTATATTTTTAACCATCTACCTAATGCTGAATCCATCTTGAAATTCTCAAGTCATAGTACTAAATTACTTACTCCTGTTACTCCTCGTGGAGGAGCATAGGCTGCCCACGAGCACTCTCCATCCAACCCTTTCCTGAGCAATCTTTTCCAGTTGTTATTTATCCTTTTCATATCTGAGTCTGTCTCCCGACGTACTGTGTTCTTCGGCCTTCCTCTTTTCCATTTCCCCTCAAGATTCCAAATTAGGGCTTGCCTCATGATACAGTTTGGTGATTTCCGAAATCTATGTCCTATCCACTTCCAACGTCTTTTTCTGATTTTCTCGTCAGCTGGAAGCTGGTTTGTCCTGTCCCACAGAGGTCTGTTGCTGACGGTATCCGGTCAATGGATGTTGAGTATCTTACGTAAACAACCATTTATAAATACTTGAACCTTCTTGATGATGGTTGTAGTAGTTCTACACGTTTCAGCTCCGTATAGCAGAACTGTCTTGACGTTTGTATTGAAGACTGTGCCGTTGATATAGGCTGACAGTTGTTTTGAGTTCCATATGTTCTTCAGTTGTAGGAATAGAGCCCTCGCTTTGTCAATCCTCACTTTTATGTCTGCATCAGATCCTCGTTGTTCGTCGACGATGCTTCTCAGGTACGTGAAAGATTCGTAGTAATAAATATCTGATAATAATTATTTTGATAAAATAAACTTATCTTAGTGTAATTTACTAGTATTGATATTGGTGGGTGTTGGCTGTCAATAGAATTCAGTATACAGTTGTGAACATCAGTGGGGAAATGCAAATAACCAACATATATAAATTAAAATTATGCATTGCTCTGTTTAAGGACTTATTCTTTCAAAACTATGGAATCATTCTCAAAATCACAAATATAACATTACAATTTGAAGTGTTTTACTTGAAAATTATGGAAATTCTATAGATTGTTGAGTGGATGTTTTTGAAACGATCAAATATTCCATGTTTTGACTCAGACTGCTGGATACGTAGATAGTAGTATTACCAAAACAATAGATTCGATTATTCACAGTATAACTCGAATTTTCTTTCAACAGCAACCGCATATTGTTAACGGTGTCATACAAACAACAGCCTGAGTTATGTTATATAATATTATATATCATGTGGCCTTGGATACTGAGGTATTAGTTATTTGATGTATTTATCACATATTATATCTTCATTCATCAGTTTAGCCATTCAACGTAATGTAATGAAGATGGGGTTTGATTGTGAATGCGGTGGTTGCGACTGCTGTCAGTGATATAAGGGTAGTCGTTAGTTCTTGAGTGCTTACTTGAGATACTTGGAAAGGAACTAGATTTATCATTGGTTTTGATAGCTTAAGAGAGCGACCACAAAGCCTAAAGTTCAGCCGTTTGGCAATGGTCATACATAGTTTCTTGACGAATAGCGCTTGATATGTTAGCCCTGCACTTTTAAAACCTTACATACAGTACAAGAAATCTGTATTTTTTATGTTTGAAGTAGACTTATTCTATCCCTCTCCTGACGTTATAGGAAGATAATATCGTTACAGAGGCTGTTTGTCTGAGGAAAACACCTGACTGCTGTCACACCTACATACAATCGGCAGTACGAATTCGCAGTCAGATCATGAGACTGATGGCTCTAATCTTACCGCTCTTTAACGAACCTGTTTAGTAACATGAGACCTAAAGGAACGAGTGTCTCAGTCAATAAAGTCCCACTTAGTCATCACGATACGCAAGGGTGAACTTAGAAAAACGTTCGATTGATCCATTAAATCAGACTGTTAATGAGCCATATTGGTAAACGCAGACAACCTGGTTGGCGTCTGTAAGATAACCGTGACCAATCGTTGGACATAATAAGTCACAATGGCCTTAATTCACCATTTATTCCTTGATTCAGAACTTTCCCTTTTCTCTCTTCAAACCATAATCCTAGTGATTAGTCTTTCATATTATTATTGCCAATGCATTATTTCGATTTTTTATGCTACATATCTTGTTAATTTTATCTCATGTGCTCAAATGACAACACGGATCAAGATACATTTCTACTAGGCTATAGGTTATGACTAACCATTACATATTATATATACACCAAGACAACATATTTTCATTACGACAAGTGTTTCCTTTCTCCTTGTTTCATTTATAACAATGATTCATGATTTGACATTATCTGCCTTACTCTCTCTGTCTTTGTTATACCTCTTCCCATCATTTGACTTTAAAAAATCACGTAGTAGTGACCTACACCTGGATTTTTATCTTTTCTGGCATATAAGTTTTCCCTCATAATACACTCCTGACTACATTACTGTAATCTTGTATCGTTATAATGAGAATGACAAATCAGCATGATGTGTAAATAACTGATTATCATTTATTTTTCTCTACAGTTTAAAAATGTACCAAAACGAACTGAAAGAAATATTGGCAAGTGTGTTGTCGAATTTTCGCTCACACACACACTCTATTTATGTATTTTTCATGGTTTGTTTTTAAAGGAATAGCTAATTTGTCACATCAGTAACATTCTTGTACTCCTAATTTTACGCGTAATTATACGTTACTTTCGAGAAAAGTATAAAAAAACACAATCAGAAGGCAAGTATGACATATTTTCAGGTTGTATATTACAACAGTCTATTATAGTAAATGTTATTACTAGTCAATTAAATAAAGTGCTTGTATTATCCAATTATGGTATAGAATCCTAATAATTTTGACTTGATTCCATTATGTCATAGTTGACCAGATTTAGAAATGTATACTACTAACTTCCAACTAGATAGTAATGAAACATTGTTTTAGCAGCGATATTTGAAGACCTCAAATTTCAGTCCTTCTAAGTTGGTTTCGGGTTTTCCATAGATCTTCAGTAAATACCAGAACGTAATGAAAATTGTCTTGAAGCTTATTCAGTGTTTATTAGGTTTTATTATTACCTCCACAGTCTGCAATGATATCTAATAATCTGAATAACTATCTGAACAACATACGTTTACGTCAAGTTTACCGTTTGATGCATATAACCAAAGTTCGAGATTCATAAGAAATAGTTTCAAGTTACATATGGTTATCACCAGGAAAACCATTAAAAACCAACAACTCATGTATAACTGTTTCGTCCCAATTTTAAACTCCTCAAAAATGAATTCACACAGGATTCTCACTTATCATGATGGCTATGATACACCGATACTCTTTTTGAGTCCGAATTATCTAGAACAATTCACAATTTCAAATAGTTCATCATTTAAAGTGATGGCTTAGTGGTTAAATTATTTGACTTTCATACAGATTACAAGTCCGAACCCAATCCTGTTAGTCACGTGGTATCATAAATTTTGCAAAATATAGTTAAAGATGAGCGCAATAATGGTAAATTAGTTACGTGACGAAAATAACTTGAGATTCAAGTGGTTAAGTTTGTAATTCTTTCAAAGACAACGAGACATTTAATAAGAAATCTACACCTGTTCTTACACCAATCTCTATGAGATGATAATATCTTAACGTGTATTCGGACAGTGGATAGAAGTGGATTTCAAGATACATATTCTGTACCGTCTGAGATTTATGAACTAGATGTAGCTGGATCTTGATGTTCGCACCGGGACTAAAATCCAGTACATATCTCTTCAAATTTCAACACGCAATCCTCCGAGCTACAGAATCTTCATGGTCAATAACCTGTACAACGAGTATGAGTGGAGCAACGTAAGGAGATGCAGTCCCATGGTAGCCAGTGACCCACAATGGGTTCGTACGCCATTTGTTTCCTCACGATCCTGGAGCCCATGTACACCAATGGTTTAGAATGAGGGTTTTGGAACTCCCTTAGGTGGATACTCCATATCCACCAACGCAGTTTAAGTGCCAGATATTCGCTCCTCGTCCTCTCGATTTCGTAAACAACACCCCGCCGCGAAAAGGCAGTGATTAGCAGTTCCCTGCTAGTGGTTGTATAGCAGCTCACGCGCAACTGAGTTTATCCGCAACTAATTGGGCTAAGCCTCTTTGTTAACTTCTTTAGCGGACAGAGTCATCTGTACTACAACAGCTTATTTATATCGTTGTACCTTTATTATTGTTGTGCTTGTATGAAATATGTATGCTTGAACATGGCCTACCGCCTTTGTATATATTCATTCTACTAGCTTTATTATTAACTGCTTAATTGATTCGATGATCCATTCATTTCCTTATATATATACATGTATATTTAACACTCGGTTCGCTGACTCAATCATTCGCCTCATTGCTTTGTGGTCTGAGTTATCTGCTAATAAAACTGTAGTCTCTGGTTCTCTCTGCCTTCTGATTTCGAACACCGTTGAGGATTATATGATAACGGTTACGAGGGTGATTGGTCAGCAAAGCACAGCCACTACAGTTGTATGCACGTGACCATGTGAGAGCATTTCGTGAAGGAGAGCTGACTTCCCCACTCACAGCTGTGCCAGGGCATTTGGGGGCAATGTGGAAGTAATCCATTCAAAATTAGATTTTAGTAGTGAATATCAACAGTAGGAAAACATAAACTCATACAAATATCAATATATATATTACTTATTTAATTAAAAACACTAATCAGTAGTATATATACAATTTCTTTCATATTAAACAAATAAATACTAGAAAATTTATGTATAACAATTAACGTTTTGATTTCTTTTTTTCTTTACACTTTTTTTTATTTTCATTAGAAATATCTTTGGTATTAGAAGAAGAAGATGATGATGATGGTATATTCAATTTGATTAATTTTGCATGTCCTGATTGTTTTAAATGAATAAAAAGAGCATTCCTTGATTGAAATTCTATAGAACATGTATCACAGATAATTTTATTGATTTTTGAAGAATTCAATATTGATTTTTCATTTTGTTTTATTGTAGATTGATCAGAATATTTTAAAGATGATTCTTTGTTTAAATTATTATGGTATTTATTGTTGATTGTATTGTAGGATCATCTATATATATAGAATACATAATAAAAACTTGTCAAATAACAATGATCTAATCAAATTGAATAAATGAATAACTTATTCAAAATCTCCTTGGTCAGTCAGTTACAACATGGGATCAGGCACATATATGTATCGGTCTAAGTTGTCATACCTCATTAGCACAACAAGATGAATACCGGATTCATAGAAGTAGTTAATTCAATGGTGGTAATATATAAAAGAAAGATTGTATATAAGGATATAGTATAGGAAGAAAGAATTAGTTCGTAGAAAGAAAGATATGAAACTATTTTAATCTCATAGTTTAAGGGAAGACAGAGAGTGTATACACCCACGCCATTGTGATCAATTCTGAGCCATGTCATACCGAGTCTCCAACCATTGATTACGATAGTCACCAATCTCTGTGATAACGTGAAATGTATCAGCAATCTGTGAATAATATCAATTTCTATTGTTTTGCATATAGTTTAGTCAACAACAACAAAAAAGAGAAATCTGAACAGTTAGCTATTCAATACAGTCAGTAGCAACGTAGATTTTCGTGCGTGCATACATCAGTTCAAGTTGCCATACCACATTAGCACAGAGATACAATTGTCGATTCAAATCCCATAGTGGTAGAGGTAGTAAAAGTATAAGCAGTAATCGGAGAGATTAGGGTTGTGAAGGTGTTATTCAAGGAGTATAATCCAGTGAAATAAATTGGGAAAAGATTAGAATTTGGAAGAACACAAAGATTGGACGCACCTGCGCCACTGAAACGATTTCGAGCCATGTCATTTAGGGTTTCTAACCATCGGTTACTATCGTCTCGCAGATCCCAATGCAATTTATATCAAAATTCAATGAAACGTCTCATTGATAATGTCGATCAGTGTGATAAGCACTAGTTCAATTTATCGCATAACATATCAAAATGAAACTATCAAGACTTTATGGATTTACATAATGTATTGGTTTGGTCATTCCTAGATTTCTTTCAACTTACTGCTTACCTATGCAACGGCAAATATCACGTATATTGACATGACAGTCTTGACAGTATTAATCGATATCGTGAAGTTGTACAGCATTGCCTACTGTCATTTTGGTAACTGTATAACATATCTTCTCGTTAAGTACTTTTCAAGACAGACACACATTTAGATCGTATAGACCTATTCAAAACCTGGACTATTTTTTAGTGCTGTTCTAACAGTCTAAACGAGCTGCAATAGTTGAACTACTTATGAAAGATTTGTGTACTATGACTTGTGTTACTCATGAATAACTAGTTTTCATTACGTAATTTTTTCCTCTTATTTCTTTGGTTAAAAATAAACTAAATGTCCTCTCATTAGTTGTCCGACCATATTCATATGATCATCTTTGACTCTTGCTGTGTTTATCTCCTTGAATATATATATATATATATATATATATATATATATATATATATATATATATATATATCATACCTTCTTGACAGACAGACATCAGGCTTGGGTTCCTTTAGAAATACGAACTTTAAAATACCCAAAAAAGAGTTTAATTATCACTACAGATATGTTTTTGACTAGACTATCACAATAAATGGATTAGTGATTATAAATTCAACGCCTTTACTCCCTACTGTCACATACTATGGATTGATATAAGTGTCATTATCACTGTGTATAGATTTTATCCAATGCCAAAAATTAGTCTAAACAAAAGATGACGATTAGTCAATACTCATTGGATGATGAGCATTTAAAGAAAAGAAAAAAAGAAATTAAATTTGAAAAAGTTGGCGTTTATATCGAAAACCATCTCTTTTTTTATTAACCATATATAAATAGGATATTTTGACAGCTATTAACTACACTACACGTATTGAGTTAAATGAAAAACAGTCGAAAACCATCATTATATATATATAAACAAATAAAGAAATGAAAATCTACACATATACACTTAGACCTATGCATATATATATATGGAAAGAGTATTCATTATAACAAAAAGCAACTCCGTAAAAAGTATAACTTGTCATTTAGAGAGAAACGTTTATAACATGGCATAACTGATAAACGATGATTCAGACCTAGTCATGTCAGGTTATTTAGATCTCCAATACTCAATCATCAAATATAATGAACTAGGAAAAAAAAACCTACCACAAAACTCGAATTTGTAAATGTCAGAAAAAAACGTATTGTTGTTTTTTCTCTATTTAAAGTAAAAATAATTAAAGACACACTTCATAGACTGATCTTAGTTGACGTATTGTTGAAAAAAAAGAAATTGGACAGTTGACTCGCCCTAGTATGAGACTTATCAGCAGTGCATACCGACGACCAGTGATAGAATTCAAGGCCTTCAGGTTCTCACAGAGGGCTCTGAACCTTTACACCATTAAGCTAGCGTTCAATGGTACAATTCCAACTTTAATTAATTCGCGAAATAACGCGACGATTATCTAATACCACTGATGAAGACTGTCTCACTACTTCACCAGTTATAACCCTCACAAGATAACTTGAGGAAAATCCTGATGACTACAACCTACCTACAAATTAAATCAATTTTTAGAAAACCCCTTCAGTTAAACTAAAAATCTGTTAAAACGACAAATTCATACAGGACAAACAACATGGATCTTGTAGCGACAACATGAGATAAAGTTAAAAATTAGACGTCATTCATATATATTTATTGTTTGGGTCTTCTCATTGATATTTAGGGCTGCAATTGATCAGCCTCTCGTAGAATATGTGAGTCCTGCGTTGTTTGCCTTGATATTACTAGTAGGTCACAATCATTATAAGCCGAGATAAATGGTGGCTAGCTGACGAGTCCAAATGGGACGAAACGTAACTCCTGGATTCTACCGCTATCCACCATTTATCACCGCTTGAGTCATTCGGTAAAGTTTTATTCAAAGAGCTAATAATTAACTGGAATGTGATTTAGAAACAAACGTTTCATAAACAACATTATTACATCTATGAAGAGAATTGAAAAAGAACTTTCTACGCATTACATGAAATGAATGTGTACAGAATCGACTAGTCTATCTCAACACAACGATAATACATTGCAGTAGAACTATTGATCAATGGATTAAGTCACATAACCTTCGACTATCAACCAATCATTTATTTTGTTTCCAGCAGTTATATATTATCAGTATAGGAATTGTAATATTTAACAGTTGAATTCACGAATCAATCTAAGCTAGAACATCATTGAAAACCTGGAAGCATTGGACGACTGTTTCGTTCTGGTATAGGAATCCTCAGTAGTACGCATTCACGATCCCGAAGCTAGAACTCAAACCCACGCGAACGGATCGACTGAAGTTAAACATTTTAACACCGTTGGATACCAGCTCAGTAGTTTAGCTTAGATTGACTCATGAATTCAAAGGGTTATATATTATCTTGAGAGATTATTATTTATTCATTTTAACACATAGATATTGATGCAAGGAGATATATGCGCCACACAGATCTCATTTGATATGTGTGAGGGCTGTGATACTGACCGGGTGCCCAAACCGAAGCAGTGGTTTTCTTAGGGAGCCACACCCGGGGCCTTCGACCTGAAGGTCTGATTCACAAGGCAGTGGAGCATCGTAAGGAGATGCAATCTCATGGTAGCCGGTGACCAACGATTGGTTCATACGCTATTTGTTTACTCAGGATACTGGAGCCCATGTGCACCATTGGTTTGGAATCAGGGTTCTCCAACTCCCCTAGGTGGACTCTCCATGTCCACCAACCCGGTTAAAGCGCCGGACGTTCGCTTTTCGCCCTTTCAATTTCGTAAACAACACCCCCCCACGTGAAGGCAATGAGTAGGACTTCCCTGGCAGAGGCTATATACGCGTGGCCATGTGAGAGCATTTAGAGAGGTAGAGCGGACTCTCCTCACTCTCAGCCGCACCAAGGCACTCACTCTCGAGTGAGTGGTTCTCACTCGAGAGATTACATTCAAAACAAACAAATAAACAAACAAACAGACAAAGCATTGAGTCTATATTTTAATTTAACTAACCTAATTCACAATTACTAGTTTCATTTATAATTTCAGTATTATTATCATTTGTCACATCTTTGTTTAATTCATTTATTGAATTTGGTTGTTCATTTAAAATAGAAATTGATGAATTATGTAATTCTAATTGTTTTTTACGTTGACGTTCAGCTTTTTTAGCTCGTTTAGTTAATTTTATATTTGATTGTTCATTATTATTATTATTATTCATACAATTATTGTTGATAAGATGATTATTAGAAGATTGTTCCATGAATAATAAAATGTTGAAATGATCTTGTAAAATATTATTCTCTCATGAATTAATTTTTTTAATGAATCTAATTGTTTTTTATGCTTTTTAGATGATTCATGATTTAATTTTGCTTTGATTGAAGCAAATAGTTTATCACATGCTATACAATATAGTTCATCATTAATTGTCTCTTGAACAGGATCATCATCATCATTATCATCATCACCATCATCATTACTATTATCACCATTATCAGTATCGGTATTCTGAGTTTGTTTATTAATATGATCAGTTTCATCATTGACAGAATTATGAGGATTATTAATGGTTATAACATGATTGGCTTTAGAAGATTTCTATAAATAGACAAAAGAAATATATATACATATAATTGAATACAATAAAAAAAGGATCTTTCCAAAAAAGTAATTGTTTTTCAATAACCCTTTAAAATATTGTCAACTCTTTTATGTATACGAATTACTACAAGAAAATTAGTGAGATTATCAAGACTGGACAATGTAGACAATATCAAGATGTATACAATTTCTTAAATTATAACATAGATGGTTACATGAACAATAGTTTAGAGACATTAATAGTTAAATACCATTGAATAGTATATAATTTTAATAAACTTGAAGTGATCATCCAAGTACCGGAATACAATAAGAGATTAATCCTTTAGTAGGAATCCGATAAAGAATCTGATATACTTTTCTAGGAGAATAAATAACTATGAAGATGTAAATTAAAAATGCACAGTTATGAAGAGTACTGAAAGTAGCTAATTCAGATGACAGATTATTGTCAAGTCTAAACTGAGTAACTATATATAAAACTGATATGGTAAGCTGGTCAGATTTCGGACACCGCCCGTTATAACAAAAACATGATTATATCACAATAAAAATAAATTACGTCACAAAATTTCGTTATCAAAGATGCTGGTGAGGTTAACTACATAGAATACTACTAAAAATAGTAGACATTTCACAGCTGGAGAATAACAGAAATACTATGGTATATATATTTAAATTACTTAAAAATCATTTTAAGTAATGTTATCATCATCTTAGATTGTAATGAATCACCTGTAGTGGATCGTCTAAATTGATACCATCAAGCTCTGCTTCTAAACGTTTTATCTCAGCTTCAAATTGTTCCGACCACTGAGATGCGATTCCACCAAAAGCAATTTCATCATTCCAAGCTTCGTGTAATTGGGCTGCTTCTCTGTAATATAAAGTATAATCAACAGACAGGGACATATATATATATATATATATATATATATATATATATATATATATATATATATATATATATATATATATACAGTGTGAGAACTCATATTGCCGAAAATGCTGTGGTCTTTGTAGACTTCATAACTAGTTGCTTCAACAGACAGGTTAACATACCGAAGAAAAAGATTTAACCGGAGATTTTGTAAGACAACGCTAAAATTACCGTTTTATGTTTAATACAAAACCTTTTAAAGACTGCAATAATTGTTCATAGTAATAATGTCATATATATATAATATTATTATTACTGACAGCCTTCCTAATAGGAGTCAAAATGTAGGAGACGAAAACTGTGGGTTAGGCGGATAACACACGTAGCAATGTATTATGGGTAATCAAATCCACCTTCAAAAAATCTAGTGAATTCGACATTTTTTGATGTTCTCCACATTACATGTGGTTAGTATTAGTGTAAGAGGTTGTTGAGATCATGGAACTTTACTCAAGAATCCAGTTAGTCTGCAGGGGAGACTGGAGTGTCCTGGACGTTTTCTCCTGAGTCCTCTGAATTGCCATCCTTTACCAATGCTAACTTTGGTAAAAGATACAAACGATCATCAGGTTCAACAGTTTTATTACGATCTGCATTTGGTTCATAAGATGTATAATTGTGATCATTGTAAGGAAGTCTCCAACAGCCATCTGACTCACCATAAGTTACAGCATGAAAGGGATATTCATTGGGGTCAGATTCATCTTGATATGATTGAAATTTTGCTTCAATTAATCTAACAATTATCTTAAGAATGGTTTACTGTAGAAATTCGTAGATGAAAAACAGAATAAATACTGATTTAAATGAATCTCATAGATGATACATAAATTTTATGATTTTACATAGTTTTTGGTGTATCAAACTGAAATTAAATTTATATACAGATAAATTTATTGATGATAAAACAACTAAAAAGTAGTGTTCAACAATAAGTAGTGGAATCCAGGACGCGTACGTTTTGTCCTATTTGAGACTCGCCAGCCTGATGTACCTTCACTATAACGTTGATGTTTACTCAGGGACTCGAACCCATTACCGTTCGCTACTGAGTCTAGATATCATAAATGACTGATCAATTGTAGTCCTAAACGTCAGTGGGAAGATTCAAATAACCAATACAAAAATGAATTTAAAATGTTCGACAATGTTAATAAACAAAATATTTTAAAAGAATATGAAATTTGTTATTAACAATTACCGCTGTCTAGCTTTTTCGGCTAATAATTTAGTACGATTTTGAGATTCTTTAGCTATACGTTGAATGCGTTCATTTTCAGCAATTACACGTTTATCCCTTTTCTTTACATATGCTACCAATTGACGTATTTCTTCATTTCGCTTGCGTATTGCAGACATTCTCATACGATTATTTTCTGCTTCCATTGCACGACGTTCCTATTAGACGATAATAGATAATAGTATAATTTAATGACGAAAAAGTGAACACATGTTAAATGCACTCTATCGTGTGTTGTTATTATGAATTGGGATTGTAAATGTGAATAAGCGTTGTAATTATTAAAATGAGTAGAATACCGATCGATAAATAAAAGATGCGATCAAGTAACAACTGATGGAAACCCCTAAATAAACTGATATAATGTAGATGCCCACTGGAGGAGACTTGTATACAAATTATTGACACGAAAATAAATCGTTCATCATTATTAATTTCATTTTTGCAACTCATTTTCTGAGTGAGAATTTTTTGTTGTCTCTTAAATCTTTAGTTAGACGGGTTTTTGATCAAGACAATAAACTATTATGATATAATGTGTATTGATGAATAAGTTTTAAAATGGAAACTAACTGTGATTTTACTGCAAATCCTCATTCCTTCAGATACGTGCAAAATAGAAAGTAACAAATAAAAACTCACTTGACGTGAATCTGCAAGTCGTGTGTCGTATTTTTCAACCCATGTATATGTTTTTTTGTTTCAAATATTTCCCAGAATAAATAGAATGGAGCAACAACTTCCTTGTATGGACTCGACGAAGAACCAAAAGGTGGATAACTTCGTGATTTACGTCTAGAGTATTTTTTACAGTCATCTTCATCATCATCGCTACCACTTTCACTAGACGATATGGTACAACCAGAAAACTTAGCTGCACATTTCTCCTCTTCAGTTATATCGGCAAATACTTTAGCGTATACAGTATAAAAGCCCTGAAACATAAAATGACAAAATACCATTTATAGCTACTTTAAACAAACAAGTAGTATAAGTCTGTACGATAAAAAACTATTGCAGAGGAATTGGGGTTTTATCAAATTTAATGATGATAACGTTTAGAAGAAAAAGAAAAATCTAATTGTTGGTGAAGATATACCAGTTGCATGTATTTACAATACCGACAGAACTTATTTTCTTCCGTATGTCCGGTGTTTATGATCTATTCGGGTTGAATGCATAATCGCCCTTTCAATGACCAATTTATTCAAGTACTTTCAAAGCGAAATCACCAACTAGATTACGGCGATTTATTAATTTTCCACTTTAAAATTACTTATAATCACAAGCTTTTGAGCTCTTGAACCTTTAAAACGAAATAACCTGAATTCATGTAAGCTTCTAAACAGCTGAAGTGCCAGTAAGATACATACAAGTGAAATATTCAGTGAGACTAGAATTTATGGACATACCAATGAGATTAAAGATGACATATTATGACGCGAAATCAATTCATTCATATAGTTATATAACATTCGGACATTATAGCTGTTGAGGATGCTAGAATCCCAGAAATCACTTGATAAAAGTCTTATTTTTGTAATTTTATGTTGGAGATTTGAATTTCTTGTTTTCGCGCCAAAAGCACCCATTTTCACCGTCATATTGTATTTCCAAATAGTTAGCTTGTCTTGTCATTGTTTTCTGAACCTTCGTTTCATTCGCTGATTAAGATGATCTCGTAATTTCTTCAAACATAGTGAAAGCTGATGTTAGCTCGTGATGAAAACACTAACTCTTATTCCTAATCCTAACTTCTAACTCCTGATCCCCATTCTTGTTCCCCACGCTAATTTATAACCCTCTTTCAATCCCAGTAGGTAGGTGAATTTTTCACTTTCACATAGCTTAAGGGTCGTTCATAAATCATGATCTCACCAAAGATTCATTACTAGAACTCAGTGAATGATAAACTTTGACATTGAATTAGGTTTTTAAATTTAGCCTCAATGTTTTAAATGAGGCTCTATGAAAGGAGTCAAAGTTGTCTCAAAGAATAGTTTTCGTAATACGATGAAACAGCTACTCAGTATCTTCTAACTTTTTATTATTTTCAACTGACAAAATTATGAAGAGAATCAATTTTGTATGACATTCCGTTTTGTGTATTCACTTAATCTTTGAATATAAATTTCCCAAATACCATACTGCCTAAAAATTTCCTAAAATACAATTAAACCACAATGAACACGAAGGAATCTAAGTTTCTATGTTAGTTATGCACTAAATGTATATATCTCATTGTTCAATATATTCGTATGACCCATTAAGAGGAGATGGGGTATACAATGAGTATTGATTAAACAAATCAATACAAATATTTGTTGTTGATTGGGTGTTCATTGAGCTGGATATTTGTTTACATCTTTTTCGGTCGATTCAATTTGAGTCATACATTAAACCATTAGTCTTTAAGCACAAGATGTAGATTACTACTAGATGTAACAATCTTTCATGTGGCTGTTGAGTCAAATAATTGATAAAATTAATGGATAACTACTGATTCGAAAACAATACTGAAACAGTAAAGATCACAGTCCAGTAAAAGAACGTTCGCTAAATTTATTTTACTAATTATGACCCATTCAAGACCAACAACTCTCCATACAAGTGTATTCGATAATGAATATGGGACTGAATTGTGAACAAGATCTCGAATGCTGTCAAAGATATAAAGGTGGTTATCAATCCCCAGTTAACCCACACTCTGGAAGAATGTTTCTTCTTGAGATATCTCATTGAAAAACTGGGTTAGGGATAGTCTTGACAACCTGGGAGTGTTATTTCAGAGCCTGATCACATGGAGCATTTATGGTCGTTTTAAATGTTATATCCGTACTTTTATTACTTTACGGAAATCCATAGGGCAAGGTAACGGTATTATGTTTTTGGGGCCTTTAATCTCCTTCTTACATCGTGAGAAGACAACATCGATGTAGATGTTGGTTGTCTGAGAGAAAAAAACACCTTAATCCTGTTAAATCCTTGTACAGTCGGTAGCACAGCTTCACCCTCGGACTATGGGTTTACTGCTTTTAGCTTTGTCACTCTCCAACAGACGTGTCTGGTATGGTAAGACATAAAGGGACTAATGTTCCAATAAATAAAGCTCTAGTAGGTTATCACGATATACAAGCCCGACCACCACTTGAAGGTGCTAACTACAGTCTAGTTGAATACAAGTATTTATAGCAGATGAGCAACACTTTGTAAAGTTATCCCTAACATATGGCACAATCAAAGTTACGGAAGAATGATAATAACTGAAAAAATCTACGAACTATCTAGAGACCATAGTAATTGAAGTTTTAGAACACTATCAGATTATACCTTTACGTCATCATCAAATTTTTCAAAACAAGATCTTGTAAAGTATTGGAAGACATCGACTCGGCTCTCCTGATAATCTGATGTTTCACCCATTTGAGTACCACGACCATTTCCCTGTAAAATTTGAGCTCGATGTTTATCATACCAAGCACGTTCTTGGGGATCAGATAAAACTCTGAAAATGTTATTAAGGAAAGTTATATATATAATCCAAATAGGATTTACAAAATATTTTATCAGATATATTTCTCCACTACATATGGAAGCTTTAAAGAAGCTAACAAGCAGTAAAGGAAAAAGCCACAAAGATCCTGTGGAAATATTCCTAAATGCATTTTTTATGGGTTAAGTAATGGAAAGTTATAAGTGTTTGATACAACCTCCCCGATTTTCGCCATCTTTAGCTCAGTTAATTTTATCTGCTAAGTTGTAGTCACTTAAACGGGAATGTGAAATAATGCAGGTAGACAGAGAGCACAAAACAGCTATTACATCCAATCTACACAATATCAAAACCAAGACTTCCAAGTATTATAGCGTTTGTATTACACCAAAGTCACAAAAAGCATGGCTATTGTGAGTTAGATTACTACACCTGTGTTTATAACCAACTATAGTGGTATTTCTTGATTTTAGGGTAGCAATTGACTTTGTTGATCGACAGGTTTTATGCATTTGTCTTTTAATGAAAGGTATATGTTGTAACAGAACAAATATAATAGTTGTCTATTTACTTTTCAGACTCAAGGGAGTGCATGGAGAGAAGTTTGCGAATAATGAACTGACAGGGACGTAGCTCAAGGTCAACAGTGCTGGTCAGGTGTATAACTGGTCAAGTTTGGGACACTAGACCATAGAAGAAATAGTAGACGGGAAAGATAAAAATTGGGATGATTCTGAGTGGTGAATAGGTGTGTCATTAGTCAGCAGTCTACAAGACAGCACAGTATACACAGGAATTGCACGAACCTTACGAAGAATATCTACTTAAACACTACTAGTAGAGCCGGAGACCATACCAAACTGTCATTAAAATGACAATATCAAGTGACTTACATCAAGGTTGCCCACTATCCTCCATTTTTATATAAATCTGTCAAAGACATCTTTCTAGAGGTAACGATTTAGTTGTCTAAATTTTCGTGAATATATCATCTACCAGTAGACTCAGTTGGTGACTTGGAATATGTAGATGAAACAGTTCTATTCGGTGAAGATGCTCACAAAATACAAACTTCTCACCATCTTGAGTAACGGTGCTAGCATGTTTGGGCTGTACTACGTACCTCCTAAATGTAAAATGTTGCTTTAGATCTGCGTCAACCCATGAACTAATAATAAGAAATAAAGTGGTCGAAAGAGATGACCGCTTCATTTATCCTGAAAGTCTCGTCAACCTTCAAGGGTTGATGTTTGATGAAATCTTGGCACGGATTCTGGAAACTAGCTTAGTTTTTATTAGAATTATTCACATCGGTGCAAATGCATCCACTGTTAGTCTTCCCTTAGATCCTGAGTTTTGAAATTATTTACTATTTTATCACGCAAATTCATTTTTTCTTCTAGAGTTTCATTCTATACGCCTAGTCTTTTGACCCTGCATTTCGATAGTTTCATCACTCTATTCTGATGCGGTATGGTAACTGAAACCAATGCATATTACGCTAGGTTTTACGATGTTTATGACTGACTGACCTAAACTTCCAAACATTTAACTTGTTTGCCAACATTTAATCGGAAAAATTAATGGATGGTTAGCAACACAACTGATTAACTATTGAAAGTAAAAAGAGGATGATTAGGTGTCTGATCGCAGTATATTTGGAGTGTCATCTATATTTAGTGGTACTAATTGGTGAACAGCTCAGGAGTAGCGTGTGATTTAGAAGTACAAAGTGGATTATTTGACAGACTTCCATCGACGAAAAGCTGAAGGTATAATATGTGTGTTTACGATATTTTCTCAACTACTTTGTAATGAGGGGAATTAAGATGGGAAGGATTATCTATAACAAAATAATTCGACATTCGATGGGGTCACCAAAACTTGTTTTAGGCAATATGGATTATCGCAGTTTTTTAGAACGATGGGTTTACTGTAATGGGAATTTCGCGCTTCTGGAAACTGTATTGTCCTAACTATGAACATGGAGTTTTTCTGTTATTCAGTTAATCCATGTGTTAAGTGATTCAATTAAAAATTAGCCATGATCTACAAATCTTACAAAAAACGAGACTGACATGAACATTATTTTCAACAAAATGTTCATCATGAACGATTAAATCGCCTATTAATAACTATAAAATCATACTTGTAAGCCTCCTGAATTTCTTGAAATATTACAGTTGTATCCTCTGTTGTGTTTTTGTCTGGATGCCATTGTAACGATAGTTTGTAGTAAGCCTTCTTAAGATCAACTTGCTCCACATTTTGTGTGACACCTAGCAGTTTAAATGACATTTCTATATACTTACCTAACAATTCATAATAGCACTTCATCTCGTTTAAGTAACAAAGAAGCCCATAAGTTTAAATTCCTTTGCTCTGAGTTCCGAATGATATTCGCCAACGTCCTGTGAACTGAGAGCTAGCACGACTAAAATAAAGCAAAAATATCTTTAAAAAATAGGCACAAGTCGGGAAATATTAATCAATTATTTATCCACTCTTATACACATCTTAGTGGGTCAGTGATCTGACTTCAGTTTGATCGCATGATGATGTTAACGAAATATACATGTCGCCAACCCTCGCGTATAATTGTCGAGTTGATTCGCGTAAATTGATAACGGAATAAAATAAGTCAAACAGGAGAATGAATTCTAGATACGTACATCTCATATACTCGTTGATCCAGACAGACAATTAGAGAAACGAAGCTGAGGAGCAGATCGGAGAAGGCAAGCATACTAACTTAATTTGATAAAGCGATTCAGTATTTATAGCCAGATAAAAATAAGCTAGACGTATAATGAATAGGGTAAGCAATACACACGTAAACTCATATAAAAAGTTAGGGTTAATAAGCGAATAACTGATAAGGTCAAAATTTGACTCGAGAAGAACTAATAAACTGGTCTGTCAGAAAGCTAGAATAAACTGTGTGGGATTGGATTACAATACGGAGAACGTATGGACAAAACAAGTGGAACGACTTGATGAATATGAAATGTTTGCAATGCATGGGTCTGGGTTAGTAAGATAGCTCTTAAGTTATATACTTCATGGTCTGACTAATCTTCAGTAGAGAATCCTCACCTGAAAGTGCCATAAAAACTGCATCACCTTATAACGGAAAACTTCGAAGCAAAATAATTTCAATAAAACAAGATACAGACGTGAAGTTTACGAACCCGACCGTTGTTGCTACTTTGACGTGGTGGTTTGGGCTTGTCTATCGTGATGATGGCTCGAACAATCGTTTCTTAAAGTCCTACCATGCCAGGCAGGTCGGTTGAAGAGCTGTAAGGCTAAAAGCAGCAAACCCAAAGTCCTAGGACGAAATCGTAATGCTGCATGTACAGAGGTGTGTGACGGCAGTAAGGTGTTTCCCTCAGACAACCAGCGTGACAGAGAAGCTACCTTCCTACGGAGGAAGGGTCAGATTGGGAGAGGTCGAACCTAAAAATGCGCACCTCACCTTACCCAAGGGATTTCTGTCTACGACGGTAAGGTTTCAACAAGTACGGAGCTGACACAAAAATTACCTACAAAAATGTCGTGTGTAATCGGACTCAAATAGTTGTCTCTTGGGCACTGCAGTCACACTCTCAGGCCACTAAGACCAACTCCAACCCAATTTTCTGTCAGATACCTCTAGAAGAACCCTTCTACGATGTGGGCAACCGGGAAGTGATAACTATCCTTATACCTCTAATAGCACTCAAGACCACCGTATTCATAATCAATTTTCCTCTTTAAGTCTTGTTACTCCGCTTACCACGCCTATCAACTCCAAACTTGCGCCTCAAGCGTCACCATGGCCAACGATTCTAGTGCGTAAAATAATACCCCAGGTCTACTGAAACCTCGTCCCAAACTACACATTAGAGTCTTCAACGTATGTACCCTGTGTCAAATCGGTCAGATGGCCTCCTTGGCTAAGACCCTAGAATCGCGTACTATTGGTGTATGCTACGTCTCTGAAACACACATACAGGATCTGCTATTTTTGAAACGATTACGAGTTCGCCTCGTCTGCGAACGGAACAAAGACTGTGACCAAAGACCAATAGGCTAGCTAATCTGATGCGTCCCAGCCCCGAGAAGTCCAAGTTCGAACGGGGAAATATATTCTTCAAGCAGCCAGAAGCACGAGCAACCACGACAAGTCTAGTCGGAAATACACACTTATATAATAGTTTGTACACCCGTTTTTGATTAATAATCAGAATAAATCACATATATGAAAAATACTGCATACAATAATATCGTATGTTATACAGAACAAAATGTCATAGAGGAAAACGAAACACATACCATACTGCGTGATCATCAAATTGAATTAAACGAAATGAACATTGAATAAAAATCATAATGAGTAAATCAATTTAATTTTGACTTTTCATTCCGTCATAACAGGGTCCTAGTGTGGTCACTCACATGACCTCACCTCGCCAAAACGGAGATCCAACGAGATACACCCTCCGTGTATCTGGCGACCCGATGGCTAGTTCTCGTGGACTGGCAGGCGTAGGCATAGCACTAAGTAAGAGGGTAGAACGAGCACTATTAGAATGGATCCCCGTTAACAGCCACCTATATGTTGTTCGGCTAAACGGCTCCATAAGAACTCGGAAGGATAGGGACACATGGCGTTACTTTTTCGTCGTTTCTGCCTACGCTCCCACTGACTGCAGCCCAGATGAAGTAAGAGATGAATCTTACAGAAAGCTTCCTGAACCTCTTTAAAAAGCTAGACACTCAGACATAGTACTCATAGCAGGTGACTTACCCAAGGGTAGGTAGCCTAAACCAAAAAGAAATACATTTAGGTGGGTATTTTAGTATTCCGGGTCAGAAAATAGATAATGGTGACCGTCTGTTGCACCTGTGCGCAGACAATCGATTATTTTTAGCAAACACTAATTTTGAGCATAAGGAGAGACATTGTCTAACATGGCGACCACCTCCACTAAGCCAACGATGGACTCAAATAGACCATATTGCCATCAGTCATCGTCCAATAGGCTCATAAAAGACTTCCACTCATTCTGAAATACATGTTTAGACTCTGATCATGCTCTCATAGGAGTACGCAGAAAAACCACATTAAGACCCATTATATTTGAACTCAGTGATGAGAAAGCCAAAAGTGGATTCTAGGAACAACTGAGGCTACACTTAGGTAGTTCTGAGAACGAGGCTGACCCAGATGTTGCTTGGAAAGATATACAAATAGCTATGGAAACAGCAGCGATATCTATTAGTGATTTGAACCAAAGGGTAAAAAGCCAGTGGATTTCTACTAAGTCTATTGCACTGATAGATTCTCGTAAACTCATCCCATCAGGCTCTGAACACGATGAAGAGCGTAAACAGATCAGATCGAGGTTAAGCAAAAGTCTAAGGAACGACCGTGAGCAGTGGTGGGCAACGAAAGTAAAAGATATAAAAGGCGGTGGCTGTAGGTAACACAAGACAGCTTTCTGGACTAATAAAAGAAACCGGAATTAAGAAGTCAAGAGTAAGTGAGACAATCACGGAGAAAAATGGTACACTTATCTGCCCTCAGTCTAGACGTTTAGAACGATAGACAGAACACTTTAAGGAGCAGTTCAGCTGACCTTTAGCTACTCTATAACGACCCACCATTTCGAAACAGCCTCAATGGGACTTTACTATATACCCCGACTCTAAATGAAGTTCAAAAAGCTATGGCTAATTTGAAACAACGAAGAGCAGCTAGTCCAGATAGATTAGTTTCAGAAGTCTTTAAGGATGGTGGCCCAGTTTTAGAGATTAGGTTGACTAAAATTTTGGCTGAAATTGGAGAACTGGACGTAATTCCATCTGACTGGTCACAATCTTTGGTCGTCCCAATACATAAGAAAGGATCAAAATTATCCTGTGATAACCATAGAGATTGGTTTGCCTAATATAGTGTCTAAAGCACTAGCCTCAATAATTATCGAGCTCCTAATAAAGACTCGTGAACTGCAAACACGAGAAAACAGGGTTGGTTTGAATCTGCTGGGATCGCCGAGTAAGTAATGGTAACGTGGGACACGAGTTATTAGGGAATGATAGTAAACTAGTTGATGAGGTTGTGAGTCCTCATCGACTGAGATGGTTGGCCCACGTATTACACATACCCGACCACGATTACCATGGCACGCGATGTCCACTAGTGTTGGAGACAGATTGAGGAAAGCTAGGGGAGGCCAAACTAGAACGAGGCATCAGTCCATAAAGTCATTAACTTTGGGTTTGAGACATGTTGGTAGATGCAGACTACTTGATTGGGGTCCGCGCGACTATCGTAACTAGTGGTTTGTAACTCTAGGTGTTATGACTTAGAACCGATCACAATGGCGGTATATACAGTCCTTGCCTTCTCTTAAACCATGGGATTAAAATCACTTTATACACTTTCTACAAACTAATTCTTTCTCCGTGTATCATCACCCTATTACCATTGAATTAACTGCCCCTATGAATTTGTTCATCTTGTTGTGCTGATGAGGTATGGAAACTCGGACCGATGCATATAAGTTTCTGGTTCTGAGTTGTAGATGAATAACTGATTGAATTCAAGAAGCGCAAAACGTGTGGTAGCGTTTAAGCGTCGGGTAGGTATTACAGTTTCTTTTTCCTAAAACTAAGATTATCTATTCAGAGATAGCACAAGGCAAGTTAAGTATTACCAAATTTACAAGGACGTATCATTTGCGGGGAAGAGGGTAGCTTCGGCTTGATATCTGAAACACATTGTGTGCATGATTATTTTGGTAAAATTCTATTGAATATGGCAAATTCTAATTGCTGACTTAGTAGATACCCAGAGCAAACTGGACTAAATACTTCGTGTTTAAGTTCTTAGTTAAGTGCCAAATCTTTATCTGAATATCTTGAAATGACGTCTATTATATTGTAACCAGTATTGTATACCGAGGCGGAAATTGACTACTTGCCAACGTGCATTTCAGTAATACCAATTACCATACCTTCCAAAATCACTTACTAGTTACGGATACTTAAAATTAGCCAAACAGTAAAGGTCGTCAGGATAGTTAGAGATAAAAACAAGGAGTTGTACACTTAGTTGGAGTGGCGGAATAAGATTCGACATAGTATGTCCAAGAAATCACAAAGCATATAAGGTGACACGATTTTCTTGAACTTCGAACACGTTTGAAAAAAACAACAAACAGGTAGTCAGAGATCTTAATTGAGACATCTGGATTGCTCATTTTAATAGACAAATTATGCTACATTTTGGTCTATAATAGAGTAAGGTGTATATTCTGAAAAGTATACATATCCGACATCTCTGATATCGATGAAAATTTGAGTTGCTAGAAAAATCAACCTACGTTTACACACGATTTGTCGGAAATTACCTGATTTAATTAAATCAGGTACATATTGATAGTAGGCGTAAAAGCGGTTTGCATACACCAGACCAATATTTAATTATATCATACGATACACTGAGATTTACTCGAAAGTGTTAAAACAAAGCATCCGCAATATTATTTACTATAATATCCAAAGAAGAGACGACTTCCTAACCTCGTGACTAGACCTTGGCTTGTAGCGCATCTAGTTATAGTGGAGCCCTAAAAGCAATCTTCAAGAAATGGTTTAAAATACAGCTAATATATTTCTTGTTCATCACCCTGTAAATTTGTGATCTGGTACTAGGAAATATAAGTAGAAAGAGTAGTATCTTCGATGCATAATGATTCTAGTAATTAAACACTTCTCACCGTTAGCAGTACTTAAATCCAGTTAAAGTTTCCACTGGTGTACTTTTGACTAACGCCGTGGTTGATATTCATCAAAGTTTTCTTTCTGGAGTTATTCTCATGACCCTTACTTTCGGTATGCCTAACTACTTCATCTAAACCAACTTAAATATAGTGTTACAGGTGTAAATAAATCCTTGCTTATCATATTAGTTTCACCAGAAACAACACTCCCTGAAGGTCTTCTACCAGGCATCAATCATGTTTTAATAGGTCGTGTAGTGCACCTCCTACGATGACTAGTTAGCTCAGGTGTCGTCCATCATGATACGTTGACCTATAATTCAAGTATATTTTCATATACCATTACCTTCAAGGTCTAATTTCAATTGCCTTGAAGTTTCTGCGCCACAGAAGGTTCGGACAGCAAAATTTTCACCACCTTTTTGTTTGTTTTGTTCTTGACTTTTAACTCCAACACCTACGAAAACAACTTTTGATGTCCTTATTAGTTGCTGGACGAAGAAATAAATAACTAATGACCTGAGATAGTGTTGCACGGCATGTCACTTTTACGGACTTCATACAGACAGCATAGTATTTAACCTCACTCTCTGTCTTAAACAGCAAAAGAATTTTCTAAATAAGTCTCAAATTATTTCAGCTGTTAAGGGGTCGAAACTGTGTATGAACTCAAAATGAAACACTACTGAATGTCCTGCTGAAATCGAAGGATATCACATCGACAGAAAGACCAAAAACTCCAATTTTTGTTTAATATCTGATAATGAGCGGAATAGTTAAGGTGAAACATCTATGAAGTCCGTGTTAATCTGTAGTTAATGGATTGTGGTTCTATATGACGAAGCCAACTACCCGAATAACTTTTCCACACTTTATCCGCTGTACTAGTTATAATAACAGGTCTGTAGCTGAGTACGAACTGTCTTTTCCCATCCTCTCATGTAGAGCTAACTACAGTATACTTGCTAACTCTTATGAGTTGAGTCTGGGAAAGCGACGTATGAAACTGTATTCCCTCCTGGTCCTCAGAAAAAATATCCGCAATATTTGACAGATATGATGAAAATAGTCTGTTCGTGGGAGAGATGTAGATCCACAAAAATTCTAGTGAATATTTGTATTAAACTGTGGAACACTTTTCACTCTACCGTTTTGTGACTTTGAAATGACAACACCTGTGGCTTTTAAAGAACAATAGTTAAATTTTATGGGTAAATCAGGGATCTATGTCACTGTGACTGTGGTGTGTGCTACTTATGTTGATATAAGTAGTATATGTCGCGAGTTAAAACGTAATATCTGGCAGCAGAAGATGAGGTGAAGATCAAGAAAGGAAGAGCGAGAGCACAATGGGATTTGTAAGAAAACGCATGTACAATGGAATGGGAGACAATGGATTAGTGTTTGCAACGGAAACAGTCCAGTTTGACATGATGCATTGATATTTTGCAAATTGACGATTGACTTTATGGTATTCAGATTTTATTGAGATAGTCTGTAATTTTTGTGCTAAATAGATTCGATTGTCCCTACCCGTGTTCTTGTTCACTACATGACTATTTTTGTAAACGAAAGCTAGAGTAAGTGAAGATTTTAACCCGAG